ACCAAGGACACGCGTAAACACATGCGTGCTGTTGCATCTACGCCATACATAGAACTGCCTCAGGTATACATTAGCAACCGATCGCTAAGCTGATTGCATAAGTGAAACTTCGAATCATTACATAAATATCGAGAAGCGACAAAAGCAAAAAACCAACAGTATATAACAGAGGGTGGATTAACCAGATCAACTGAGACCTGGAAATTTTCTTAGAACTCGCAAGCCGAGTTGTTATCTATGTACATTTGGATCTTGAGAAGAAATCCTGCCAGATTTGTACTCTTACTAGAAACCTGAGAGAAGTGATTAAAATCAATAATCTTAATCTGTTTCCATAGAGAACGTGTTGAAAAAGCAAGAAGACTGACTGAATTGATGGTAGGTCATGAAAATCGCAGATTTTCGTCTGGACAGCATGAGCTTTTCGTATGCTGATGTATGTGGAATAACGCGACTTCTACAAAACCAGATTTCGTGACGTATTGCATCGCCCTTCCTTTCAATTGCCTGCGGGGGCATGCAGGCAACGCGACTCCGAGCAAGAGGACTGTGCAATGCGCCATGAACTGTGCCCTTGAAAACTTATGAGTTATTTGATACACTCCGGCGTGTGAGTAAATTACATTTTCGCCGTACTACGTAAAGAGTACCACTTCCTCTAGCAGACACAATGATGCCATATGTACCTGGCATCGTAGATCATAGAGCCGTGATTTGCTTGAATGTCCTCGATCTTCAAGTTACTAGGAGCAAGGAGGAGTGCAATCTGGTCTTGGAGGAGTCATGCGTTATACCTCTTCGCATGTGCATAAGACCATGCTAGATGACAATGACAGTGGGAAGCCAAAATATACGCATTAAATACATCAAATGTCTGTCAATGTTGTGAATATCGTTAGAGTGTTTTCAGTTTCTTTAATGTTACTGACTAAGCACAGATCCACCTATCCATCCTTTCACAACCCGCTGTTTCCTTCAGGTAATGGAGCAGCAAATTTCAGAGACTTTTCTCTGGTGGTTGCCATCCTTTATCCATCGGGCAAGCTTGGTTTTCGCTGGATTCCAACGAGCAACGATACGCAAGTATTCAGTATGCCTAGCAATTTCTTCCTTTGTCTGCCTCATTGTGGTTCATTATGAGGCCCTGTGGCGAAGACTTTCCATCCTGTGAGTCTCTTTCCGACCATTCTGATCACATGTAGAAGCTAAATTATCACGAGGAAGGAAGAGAGGAAGGAAAATTTATAACCGTTGGATGATCGGTTTTCATTGTGGGTAATTTTTTCCTTTCCATTCCATCATCCAGAAATATTTTGTTTCAAGGGCATGATCGTCCTACAGCCATGTAGCACGCGTAGCGTTTAGTCCCCTACTTCTTTTCCACAAAGTGTTACCTATTTATCAACTTCGAAAGGCGAATGACCCGACCACGGATCGAACACGGAATTTCCCGGTTCTAAGTACGACGATCTACCAAGCGAAGAAGCCCGGCCTGATTCCATTGTGTTCTCTCTATTTGCATGTACAACAACTCACTAACCGTGTATCTTTGCCTTGAAACAGACTTCTTTACCTGACTCATCTGCACTTCCAGAAAATACAAGGCAGGAGGAGCGACGTCTTTCTCGAAACTGTGAAAGTTGGGTTTTCGTCAGACTCACCCTCATCCCAGACTCCATCACTTTTGACAGAGACCTCACAATGAATCCAATCACCGAAACGCAGCTGGTCACAGAGAGGGGTGTGTTAATAACCACTCAATTTAAAAACTGAATTTAACGACGTACTGCACCGCTTCTTATTGCTGGAATTTTAGGAGAGCTATTTAGGCACATCACAATTCAAAGATTGAATAATTTGTTCGTGCGTTGGTGTTCCTAATGGAAACTGTATACAAACAATTTATTGATGCACAAAGCAAACAAATAAATTGGTCATTAAGTGATTGACCAATGCCGATGCTTCGGCTAGTCTCTCATGGGCCTCCTTCAAGGTTGTCCGGGTTGGTTTCTGCTTTGTTGTGTGGTCCGCATGTGTTGTGACGTTTGCAGCCGAAGGTCCATGCAACTAACTTCACAAGCCAACCTGAACTACCCTGAAGAAGCCTCGTGAGAAACGAGTCGAAACGTCGGGACCTGGTCCATCATCCGATAGGCTGGCTCATTCGTTTTCGTTGCACATAAATAAGTCGTTTAAATACGTTGTTCAAATCGGAGTTCAATGGCACTTCAGCACTTGGCAGTGTTAAGCGTATCTCGCATACCATTCATTTATTTTGAACAGGTAACTCTTTCTTCTTACGTTGAAGCTGCTTCAGAAAACTCTTCAAACGATCTCAGTCTACCATCGAACGGACAAGCTCGATGGTCTGCATTCCATACAAATGATAATGCCACTTCCTCCATATAATCGAATAGTTTGATTCGCCATTTGAATTTTGGACCATCATCCCCTTAGCCTCGTCAAGAGAAATCTTAGAAGCCTCGTCCACATGATCAACGTCGCATGCAATCTTTAGAAAAGGGGCCGTGTCATAATCATAGGCATCCCGAACGCTCTTCAGTCTCGTCACATCAGCAATCTTTCAAAGAACCTCGATGTACGTGATTTCGCACTCTTTCGGGCAATAAGCAGCACCCATAAGTGGACTTCCTGGAAACAGCTTCCCGCCACTATTCCTGCTTCAACACCTCGTTAGCTCCAACAGTACAGCGTTCGCCTGACCGATTCATCTGTTTCCACACCTCACCAACTATCGCTTCTGAACGGAACCCGAGATACTTAAAGCCCTCTCTGCATCAGCTGCAGAGAATGTCGAAACTGTAAAACCCTGTTTTCTTCATCCAACGTTCTTACATATCACAACCAAATGATCAAGCGTCCGTGAGAAGTTCTAAAGGGAAGATGGAAACATGAAGAGATCAGAGCGTATCAATCTGAAACTCCCCTACCGTAACTCCTTCCTCTCCAGACTACGTCTATTCATAAAATTCACAAACTTTACGAATATGAACAGGTATTCGCACAGACAAATGAGAACATCGAAAAGTGTCGTTTTCCTGCACTTCATCGGGGCTCACGCCTTCGAATGAAAAATTTATCTTCTCTTGCATTTTCTGCTCTACTATTTCTCAGCATCTCCTTTCAAAGCGCCTTGGGTAGACTTCGACTGGTAGATTAAGCATCGGGATATACCTCGACAGATTCTGCAGTCTTTTTGATCCTATCTTTTGAAGAGGAGGTAACGACAACGGATTGTGACAATTTCAGTGATTCTCCAGAGATACACACCACCTGGCAACAACGATTCAAGGCATATATCATCTCCCACCAGATTTTCACTTCGAAATTTCCAGATGTTTCA